TATTTTGTAGAAAATCTAAATAATTTTCTCCAGTTAATCTTCGTGGAAGTATGACAGGACCAACAATGAAATTACCAATTATTCCAGCCCACACATTAATTTTGAATTCGTGCTGAAAATGGTTTACCTTTATTGCATGCGGATTTTCAACGGCATAAACATGTTCATTATGGGTATTAGTTATACCTCTTCTTGTAAATCCCGCTTCATCGGTAAAGAGAACCTTCTTGACAAAGTTTGGATCTGTTTCTCTTTGCATATTAACAAATCGACAAAAACCCAAACGAATTTGAGGATCATGGACTAATAATTCTTGTACTGGCTTCTTATGGTATGAATATAGCAATTGTTCTCTAAGCACTTTATGAACGTAAGTAAAGATTACTCCTAGTTCCCTTCTGGTGCATAATTCTGGATTTTCTTCAACACGTTCTAAAATGTCTTCTTCGACTTCAGGAATCCTTACAAAACATTATCTTCCATTATCAACAGTGTTGGGAGCAAAGGAACCGGTCTCCCGAAGACGTCTCTCAACAGCAGCAAAAGTTGGGTGGCTAGGTACACGACGATTTGGAAACCTTTCAGAGTACACCCTGACACTCTCTCGAGCATTTCCTTCACAAAATCCTAATGTCAGTAACATATCGGTATATTCGTTCGTTTCGTTTCAAAAGTCCTTTATTAAATTATATACAATATTTACATAATTATAGTAACACACTATTTATATTTTATAAAATTAGAAGGATTTCTTCGCAACTGTGCTCTTGAAGTCACTCTTCTAATGATCCCATGCACCTGGCCGGTGGTGTGGCCGTATAGATAATGGCTACTATTTAAAATTTGTGTGATAAATGACTTCTCCTTACTGTAAACAGTATTATAAGTCAATAGTGGTTCTTCATTAGAGCAATAGTGGAAAAGTGTTGATTTTTTGTTGATTTTAATTTTGTCTGTTTTTCCCTGAAAAACTGTTAGTAAAAAACAGGGTTGTCCTTGTTTGTAAGTACGTCTTGTAATAGTTTGTGTACATGAAAATTCAAATCACAAGACTACACAGTAGCACCACCGTCCGATACAAGAATCGCAGCAAGCCACATTCATTCATTTCAAAATTACTTTATTTACATTATGTACAAGGGGGTTTATAATAACACATCATTTATATTATAATTTTAGAAGGATTTCTTCGCAAACAGTGCTCTTGAAGCTTCTCTTCTAAGGTCTACGGTGACCTGGCCGATGGTATGACCGTATAAGCGATGCGTATCATTTAAAATTTGAGTATGAGTGACCTCCCCTTACTGTAAAACAGTATTATAAGTCAATACGGACAAACTCATTAGAACAATACTGGAAAAGTTCGGATTTTTTGTTGAATTTAATTATGTCTGTATTTCCCTGAAAAACCGTTCGTAAAAAACAGGGTTGTCCTTGTTTGTAAGTACGTCTTTTGTTAGTTTATGTACATGAAAGTTCAAATCACAAGACTACACCGTAGCACCACCGCCCGATACAAACATCGCAGCAAGCCACAATTCAATTAATCAATTTCAAAGTCTTTATTAAATTATTTACACTATATACAATTTTAGGTATCTACACAATATTTTAAGATATATATTTACAATATATTTGATGTCTTCACAGAAGGACTTCTTCGTGTACTCCACGTAGTATTCCTCTCTGTTGAGGCCGATCTAATGGCCACGTTTGTGCCCGAACCTAATTAAAAATTTGAGTTTTCCCGACTACTCCTTATTACTTACAATATTATTAGTCAATTTTGGTGAGCTTTCCAGAAAATAATGGTAAAGTGTTGAGTTTTTGTCTGATTTTACTTATGTGGGTTGTCCCTGAAAAACCAAAATGAAAAAACAGGGTTGTCCTTATGTGAATGTGTGTCATTGGGGGTTAAAGGGGTAGGATATAAGGGTGACTAGCCAATTCTCGAGGCTACGCGATGTCTCCACCGCACGAAACAGGCATTTCGACGAGTCTCAATGCCCATCAACATGCGATGACGTCACCGCGCAGTCTTCCGTCCGACTGGTCTGTTAGACTAATCGACTTTGAGAATCAGCTATTCAGTGGGATTTGTGTCTTTGGAAAGAATGTACGTTGAATTTACTATGTATTAATTGTCCGTGTAGATTTTCAGAGCTTTGTGCAAACAGCCATGTCTCCTGTCAACACCATCCCCTCTTGTAATTGAGTGAATATCTTCTTTAAGCGGAGAGGGAATACATTTGTTAAAAAAGTTTTCGGATATTCTAATTACGTGTTCTTTGACAGTTTCCATGGCTGTTTGTACATGCATGTCATGTATTCGTGCGTAGCGATCATACCCCAGTGCCAGCCGAAGACACTTGTTTTGTATAATTTGCAATTTTTTGAATTGAGAGTTTGACATCGAGCAGAAAGCTGGACAACCATACGTAAGGATGGGTCTAAGTACTTGCCTATATAGAAGCAATTTGTTGGCCACTGTTACCCCACTCCTACGATGTAGCATGGGGTACAGTACCCTAAATGCTCCCATTGTTTGTGTGATTCTATTTTTAATGTGAAGATGAAATTTGAGCCGTCTGTCTAACATGAATCCCAGATATTTCATGGAGTTTTTCGTTTCGATGCTCTGCCCCTGTACTTTAATATTTGTTATTATTGGATCATTCCTCCTGCGTGAAAGTATGAGGCTTTCTGTTTTTGCTGGATTTATTTTTATTTTATTTTTATCCAAATAAGGAACTAATGTTCTGTTCGTGTGGATGTCCAGCCTTCTGGCCGCTATCTCTGCAGATTTTGAGGTTTTATATACACAAGTGTCATCGGCGTACAAGGCCGTCTGTATACCATTTTGTCCCATTGGCATATCATGGGTCATTATGGTATACAGGTGCGGCGCAAGCACCGAACCCTGGGGTACCCCCGCCTTGGCTGTGTAAGGTCCGTTAATTGTGTTGTTGATTTTAATGTCAAAACGTCTGTTGTTTAGGTATGTTTGGATTGTTTTTACAATATAAACAGGGTAGTCATTCATAAACATTTTGTGTATAAGTCCATCGATCCAGACGGAATCAAAAGCCTTGGCAGCATCCAGCGCAACTAGGACTGTTTGTCCCTCTTTGTTAAAGCCTTCAAAGGCGTGATGAGTTATGCGTATAATCTGAGCTACTGTGCTGTGTCCGGCTTTGAATCCGTACTGTTCCGATGGAATAATGTGTTTGTCCTGTTCGTATGTGTGTATTCGGTTAAGTATGACTCTGTCTGTTACTTTAGCAAGACCGTTCAATAATGAGATGGGGCGATAGCTTTCGATTTCTGTTTTATTTTTACCCGCTTTGTGAATAGGCACGATATTGGCTTTTTTGAAGTTTGACGGATACCATTGTAGCTTTAGTATGTTATTAATAAGGTAATGAAGCTGTACGATTGCTTTTTTAGACAGATTTTTAATTAGCTTGTTATGTATGCCATCGGGACCTGGGGCCCTCTTACTGGGGGTCCTTTTTATGATTTCAAAAATTTCCTTTGGGGTTGTTAAGGCCCCTGGGGGTAAACTTTGTGTGTCCATATCGTTAATATCTTTAACTATACTTTCTACTGTATTTTGCTCTGGAGTATTTATTTGCATATTGATGAAGTTACTCTGGAAAAATTCACCGAAAGCCACTCCCTTTTGTTCGTCCGTAGTAAAAGTTCTGTCGTTGTGTCTCAGTGTGGGAAGCTGAGAGTAAGGTTTCTTATACCTCCTCACAAATTTCCACACTGAGTTGTCTTTTACATTGACTGCTTCCATAGTGAGACGCCACTGTGCATTTCTGTATTCATTAATTTTATAGTTTATATGTTTGCCTATGTCGTGGAGTCTCACTCTGTCTTCAGCCAATCTATGTGTTTGCCATCGCCTTCTGATGTAATTTTTATTATTGATGAGGTCTAATATCTCTTGAGGAAGAGTATCTTTATGCTGCTTATGCACTACCTGTTTTGTTGAGTGGTTTCTAGCTGTTATGATAGCATTTGTGAATTTGTTAAATTCTTCCTCAAGAGATATTCTGTCAGTAATGTTGTTCGTGATGTGAATGTTATTGTCAAGAGTTTTTCTGTATGCAGTCCAGTCCGTCTTATTGTAGTCGCACCGGGCGATGACGTCACCGTGCAGTCCGCCGTCCGACCAGTGTTAATAACTAGTCGTTGTTGTGATTTGAATATTCAGTGTGGTTTACGTTGTTGAGGAGGATGTATGTCTTATGTTTGAATTTATATTGTCAATATCCGTCTCAAAGTATAGTCATTGTCTCGAGCTATTGATTTTAATGTAGAATTTGCAGTTTTGTAGGTATGTTTGTTTGTTCCTAGAATTATGTTCAGTTTCTAAGATTAAAATTAATGTCAACGTTGCTCATGAATGCGTTATAAGTCTCTATTATTTCCTGACCCGTATTACAATTTACCAGTTTAGCATTCAGTGCTCTGATTGCTCTCGTGAGTTCGCCAATATTGACTAACCTGTTTAGTTTGTTGAGTTCCTGATTTAGTGCTGAGAAGTCACTCATATTCGTATTTGGGTTTGTGTTGGCCGTGGGTATTCTCTCAGTTGGCATCTTCTTTTCTTGATTTGTTTCAAGCTGTTTAGTGGGCAGTGCTGGGAAATCAGCATTAGTTCCTCTGGCATTGCTTCTGGCCTCCCATTGGTTCACAATCGGCTTGGGGGCGGGAACATATTTCGTTTGCGGTCTAGGCCGTCGTTCTTCGAATCTTTCTAGTTTTGTCAAATATGCTTTACATTGTGAGTAATTAGCGGGGTGATCACCCCCACAGTTTACACAAATTGCCGGCGTTTCTCTTGTTTTTGCACATGTTCGGGTGTGGTGATCACCCGCACATTTGACACATTTCGACGGCCTACCGCAATTGGACGTTGCGTGCCCCCACTGCTGGCAGTTATGGCACTGAATAATTGGTTTGGCTGATTTTCGCAGTTCCCATGTTACCCTCGTGTGTAATACGATGCGAGTATTTTTGTTTAAATACTCGAGGGTAATAGCTGGATCAGTAACCACCAGAAATAGGGGTCTTTCTTTAGTGTTCATTTGAAATATGCTCCGCGCCTTTATTTCATGTTCTTCCTCCAAGTCGGCTTCGATATCGGCTATTTTGGTACCCTCCGCAAGCCCACGCAGGACAAATGCGTGAGACTTGTCATCGCTAGAGGTATACGTGTGATACGCTAATTTCTCAGCCTTGATATTATTAATAACTCGCATGTGGTCGTCTTTTTCGTCTACAAATATGATGGTTGTGGCATTGGTGTGTTTAACGCTGAATTGTCCTTTCACGTACTCTTTCAGATCCTTGATTAGGGTGGTTTGATCTTTAGTTTTGCCGTCGATCACAATCGGTGGCATCGATTTCCTCGTTTTCGCATTTTTCGATTGATTATTAGCCACTATTTGCGGTTTGATCTTGGTTGAAGGGGCTTTAGGGGTAGGGGGTTGTTCTGCCATGTCCATGGCCCTGAATTTCGTCTTCTTTCTTTTTTTCACGATTTTCATGATTTCATCTTCATTGACATCATCATCGGATTCATCAGTGAGAGGTGCATACTTGTTTTGTGTGTTAGTTATGGTGCTTTTTGTCTTCTCACGAATGAGTTTTTGAAAATTAGAAGAGAACTTCCGTGGCACGGTGAATGGCTGTTCTAAACTGGCAGCTTTTGCAGCTTCGATGTCTCGCTGCTCTTGAAGGTATTTTTCTCTATCCGCACTGCTCCTGAATTCGAACAGGCTGTTCGGAGAGTGGGGTAAATTACCGTATGGATCGTTTCGATTTCTTCTAATATCATCTTCAGAGGTAAAATTCGACGACTCATAGCCGAGAATACTGTTGTCTACGGTAGCGGGGACTCCTCGCCTATTTTCTTGTCTGATTCTCGGGTCAACATTTTTCTTGACCGCTCCCTGATCTTTTAACTGTACTTCTGACAGGTTCACAGTGGCTCCAAGGATTGTGTTATGGGGTGCAGGATTGGACCCAAAGCGAAAGCTACTCAATCCACCATCACTTTGAGCTAATCCCACACCGCCTGTAGGTGTGAGGGTGTTTTGGCTGGAATGTCTGTTAAGATCATTTGTCTTAAAGTCCAGTAAATTACTTATTACATTATCAGGGAGACTCAATGTCATGTAATGTTCACCTGTGTTGGTGGTGACGTATTCAGAGATGAATTTCTCAGATGTTGGGGATTTTTCTCCCGGCTCCCTTTTTTTATTCTCGGTGTCAACCACCGTTATGTCCATTTTACTGGAGTCGCTGCTAGAATTTATCGAGTCATCCGATTTTTCCAGGTCATTTAGAAGTTGTTTAACAGACTCTTCGTGTTCCTTGCTCTTTAGACTGTTTGCGCTATCTTCCTGGCTATCGTAAAATTCAAGGGACTCGTCAGAGCCCGCAATTGATACTTTTCGCGGGTTTTCCCCTTCCACGGGGACTATTGCCGGCTTTGCCGCCTCACCAAAACCTTGGCGGTCGCCTGAAGGTCGTTCTAAATATTTTTTGACCGGGGGTTTCTCCTGTGTTGTGTCGTTGACCCCGGTGTTAGAAATAGTGTGGTTGCAATTTCTGGTTCAGTACTCACATGTATGTATTCAAGCTGTGTCCTCAGTTTATTTCTGGTAGGTTTGGGAGATTTGAATGTTGTAGGTGTGGTTATTTTCTTCAAAACATCTGGTTTATACAACTTGGCTTTGAGGCGTTTTGAATACTCTGTTTGAAAACCCCTTACAGGTGTTTGTGGTGCCCTTCCGGGCTCGGACATTTACCGATTCCCTGTACTACAGGAAATACTTACTCTGGCGTGTGATTACAATGATTTATGAAAAATTATAATGTGACAACTGACAACTGACAGTTAGAAAAATAAAAGTTATACGCTTCACCGCAAACAACACCTAGGACAGTCCTAGGTAAGCAGCAAGCCACGAAATTCTCATTTTTTCATTCATTTCAAACATTTTATTCACTTTTAAAAATTTTTACAACAACATATATACATACAATACAAAACATCCTGTACACAGTACAGAATGCGACCCTAATTCTACAATTATGGCCTAAGGCGATATATGCATTCACATTTCTACATTATGTCTTCTGCTATAAAAATAGCCGCCCCTACTCCTTACCCGTGGGGTATTATTAAGGGATTAGGTGGGATTGTAATCGGGAATTGTATGATTTTAAAGGTCTGTCGTGTCTTAATTTCGTTATTGCAGGCAAATAATTAATATTTCTCAAAAAATCGTACATGGCAAGAATCGAGTATTTTTATTAAAAGTCTCGATTAGAGGTGTTGAAGAAGATATTAAAAAAGTACATTTTTATGTTTTTCATCGTATAAAATTTTGTCCGATAATAATATATAGGTGTAGAACTTGATTTTTTTAAACAATTGCACCTTTAAAAATTCTACGCCAATGGCAAAAAATGGGTTTGAGTATGAAATTTGAATTGGGTACTCATTTACCACAACTAATTATTGTTTATGTTCTAAAATTACTAAAATGCAAATTTCGTCAAAACCATGAGAGTAATCGAGTCTTATCAAGAGTACCTTTTTTAAAGTAAATGAGTTGCGCAATCTAAATTTCACACTCAAACTCCTTTTCTTCCATTGACGTAGAATTTTTAAAGGTGCAATTATTTAAAAAATTAAGCTCTACGCCTATGTATTATTATCGGATAAAATTTTAATATTATTTTTTTTGCCACATAAAACTCTAGCAATATACCAAATTTCAGCAAAATCGCATATGCCGTTTTAAATTTATATGGGAAAAACGATTTAAAAATTGTAACTTCAAGGCCCTCTGGAGCTCAAACGAAGCAACTTTGTACTAAGGTAATTTTACTTAAATCGACTTATTTTGGTCTAAGGAATATGTGGTATGTTTTTGTAAAGACCTTTTACAGTATAATATATAGAAAATTCTTATCAAATAAATATTTGACTAAAATCTTTCATTTAAAACTAAATCTTCTAAATTGTAAATAAAAATAGAATAATATATGTTTAGAAATCGCCAATTTCAGCGGCTCATTTTCATTTCAAAAAGTAATTTATTTACAATATAATATACAAGATGTACTTCAATAACATTGTTAAGAGTGAGATTATAGGCCTTTTTGACTTTCGGACACAAAAAAGGAATCCACTTAATTCGAATGATTTCAACCGCTCGTCAACAAAAACCAAAAGGAACTCCTCGAAAATTCACTTGTAATTTTTCAAGAATGCTCTTGTTGATCTTTCTTGACCCTGTACTTTAATATTATGATTTAATAAAACCTTGTCCATTATTTTATCGAATATCTGTTTAGCGCGCCTGCCTTTGGACAAAACTTTACAAATCGTAACATACCTATTCACAGGGTGTTATATTTATTCGTAACAACATTTTAATTAATTTTAACAGGTGGATTTCTTCTTGAAGTATCTAGAAGTATTCCCTAAGCTGTTTTATGCCCTCTAGCGAAAATATGATCGATGTTGGGGCCTTATAATCGAATGTTATTGATTTTAAATTATGATTAACATGACTTCTCCCTGTTAGAATTAACATAATAAGCTAGTTTAGGCTGCCAACAGATCGAAAATTGAAAAGTGTATAGTTTTTGAATTATTTTAATTTTGTCTGTCATCCCTGAAAAACCAGTAAAAAAACAGGGTTGTCCTTGTTTGTATTTACGTCAATGTGACATTTTATGTGTATGATTAACCAAAACACAAGATCAGCCAGTAAAATGAATGACCAGAACAGGGAACATGGCAGGCCCTGACAATGTCCCTTGTACTTTATCTGGGGACGGTCTACATATTTGCGTGAAAAGTTAGTACGAAAGTTTACCACCAGGGTATTTAACCTCAAAATGCCATTATTTTGTTTTGTTTACACATGTTATAGCCAGGTAGAAGTAACAAATACCGCTAAACAGGAGCAATCTGCATATGGCGTAGCCCGAAAGGGCAGCCAAAGATGACTCGAAATCAACAACGGAAACTATATACTCCCGCAGATTTAGAGAAAAGAAGCTACTAGATAAAGCGCTAAAAGTAGATGCCGGCATGCCAAATACTTCCACTAGCCCTAAGAGCCCAGCTCTCAAAACTGAAGAGAAGCATCCACCACTCGTATAGACAAGCACATGTAAGTACACCTAGGCCTAAAAATTCTAGAGATTCCAGAGAAAAAAGATCAAGTAAAAATATCAGTGACTCTAATAACACGTAGCGAACCCCTAGACTAATTATGGAAACATATGGCGAAAAATCCCAGCTTTCACAACGTTCAGTCCAGAGGTCATCGACCCCTGAGAGAATATCACAGTTAGACCAGGACAATACGTTTTACATTCCATCACAACCCACAGGAGATCCCAAACTGGATGAACTCGTCAGAGATCTCGAAGATTCGCCGAACGATACGTTAAATTACGAAAGTGCAGAAAAAACGCTCCCCCTCGATAATAGTGTAATTAATATGTTCGAAAGAAACCCGGAAATCAATAATTTTGTAAATAATGTGCCTAATTCTGACAATATAAATAACATACCGAACACGATCGATGTAAATATTGTAAATATAAATGTGCCAAATATTAATAAATAACACAGTTCTTAATAATGTTAATAATGTAAATAATAATGTAAACAACAATGTAAATAACACCATGGCCAGAATAAACTCGGAGAATAGTCTCAAATCCGGATAAATGGAATTTTAGCAAACGAGGCGAAAAACGGAAAGTTCGTGAGTGACGATGTACCTAGTAAAACCGCCGAATTCAATGAAATGAAAAAAAAAATATGGAGACAAAGAGCGGAAAAACGCAGAATGTACGAAAAGATGATGAAAACGGCGGCGACGGAAGCGGTAACAACGTTTGAATCCGCATACGCGACGGAAACAACATATAATACGCTCCGAATTCTGGAAATGGTTAAAGCCAGAGCAATAAACTACCGGTACGGTAGATTATATAACATCTAGTGAAGACGAGTGGCATAAAATCGTGAGTTCGTCCACAAATAATCAAAGTGCTCGGGGAAAAATAAACCCAAACGCATTCGCGATATCGCAGTCGTCCCTTTTACCAAAGATGAAACATATGTCACCGGCTGATAACAGAAAATAATGTAAACGCAAATCAAGATCAAAATGTTCGAGACGAAAACGACGCCAGAAATACAAAAGAACTAGAAAATTTAGAGCGAATTTCATGAAACTTCTGGAACAAAAAGCAGCTTCCACAATAGACACAAATAATAAGTTCGACCCAATCAGTGACTTAGATTCGGACTCCGAAATTAAAAAATAAACATCAAACGTCACAAAACAGAAACCCAACCCGAATGTGACACTTAAAGCGCAATCAGGTGGAAAAAACACA